ATTTAAAGTTCAGTTCAGGTTCAATTGAACTTGAACCTGAACCTAAATTGAACTGAACTGAACTTCGGAACACTAACGATAGCCCTCATTACCTTCGAAAATATCTATACAGCCTGTAACAGGCCAAAAGGCAAAACTCTGTAGTAGTACCATTTTCCTAGAATCTGAAAACCTAAGAATCTTTGGGCATCTTCTCTCATCATAATGTGATGGTACCCCTCCTTTAGGTCCCAAGTTATTACAAACCAACCCTTTCCAATAGTCCAGAGCATACCACCAAGACCTTCCAAACGAATAGTCTTTTCTGGCAAGATCGTATTTAACTGTCTTAAATCGATAACTAGCCGCCATTTTTTTGGACCCTTCTTGGAGACCAAAAAACCTAGGCTCACATCTAATAAGAACTTGGGACGTCTTGCCTGTTCTCCTAGACATCGAATTGCTGATGTCTTTAGAAGACGATCTAATTCCCTTAATACCCATTGAGTCTGTTCCTCTGATAGGGGATATTGACGTGGGTCTGGCTTTGCTGCCAAAACTAACACCCTCCTTGGCCAAAGTGGAACACCATTTATTAACCAATCTAGAACTACAGGTGATGGTTTTATTTTTTGTTTCCAATATTGTAAAACTACCTCTCGCTGAATCCTCCCCACAACTGATATTAATTCCTCTACTTTCGGGGGTCTGATTTCTACTAAACTCATTGCCTGGGGCCGAGTGTAGTCAATCTTCTTTTTGGGTTCTGGAGAGGGACTTGGCATTTGCTGATGGGCAGTTTGTTGCAACATAACCAAAACCCCCGCAGTTAAAACAGGTGATTCCCTTGGTACGATCTGAGGATCTAAAGTCCTCTTCCATGAAAGGTGCACGTCCTTTTACCTCTCTTCTTACTTTTGCGAAAGGAACCCTTGTAGTCAGGATCTGAAGACAAAGACGAGTCATAATAACTATCTCTTTTCCTTTTATATTAGTACCTATTGTACCTATTCTTATAACCCCAATTATTATATCTCTGGAAAACAGCGGGTTGGCTTGTAACTGGAATTCGGTCCCTATACTTTTCCATCATTTTATCATTACTTCCTACAATTTGTAGAGCCGTTTTCTACCCTTTCTTATTTGCAAGCCTCAACATAACTGCTCTAGATTCCATATCGTCTCTAATACAGATAAAATCTTTCTTTAAATTACTAGGAAGCAATTTAATGGCCTTATCTAAACGTCTGCCCATCTTAGAGAGGAAATCATATTCATGCTGGTCTCTGGCTTTTGCAAGTTTAACTGCAGGCCATGCTTCACTCAGTAAATCACTCTCCTCGATCTCCTTATGTAATGCTGAAAAATTTTTATCCATCTTATTTTCTAAGTTTCTTAAGGCCGACAAGAACATGTCAGCAGGCATAACTTCTGGATGGCACCCCTGCTCCTGCCCTTGAAACCTTGCTGCAAGCGTATCTCTAATATTATCATCTGCAAATTGCAAATTCAATTCAATACAATCCTCTTCCAAATGCTCTATTACCAGAATTACTAAACTCATTACCAGCCCCTTCAGTATCAATGTACGGATCATGACTCATCTCTCCCGCAACAAATTCAGAATCAGGTTGCTTACCCTTTCTCTTTTCGAAATAGGCGTGAAGTCTTTCTCCCAACTCTTCCTTATTCCCTCCTGAGGTTAACCCGCAAGTTAAACACAACTCCTTCAGTTCAGCCAAAGTTAATTTGTTCCAACTCACGAAGGACATTTTACGGACACTACTATTGATTGTGAGATTATTGTTTATGATTTATAAAATGCTTTATTAACACTCTTTATTTAAACAGTATATCGTCGAAAGAGCCAGCCTAGTACTATAAGGCGGGCAATAGCAAAACCAAAACTAATGCTCCTTATATTCACTTGTACTTAAATACTTACCACGAAACAGGTATTTGCCTTAATCCTTACCCGCTTATACGTATAGACTGCACATGCCAATACACAACCTTCACATGAAGGTTCGTGAGAACTTATCATAACTTACCCCCCTTTTCATAAGCGTTGCACTCGAAATAACCTTCCATTTCTGCTGAACTCATTATACGCGCCCCTACTCTGCATCGCAGACCATAAAAGGATATACATTTACCTGCCCTGCACGTGGTGTGAGATCTTCTGATCTCGCAATAATGCTAGCCTTGTCACTTCGTTGACAAGCTAGACAATTTTTACTTAATGTTGATTAAACCAATTTCTAATCTTAATTCCGCCCGGCATTAGCTCTCCGCCAAAATCAAATATGTATATCAAAAATTTAAAAATTTTTTTTACAAAGAGATAGGGGGGTAATGTAAACAACCAAATCAAATTGGTCTGGCCTAATTTACGGTGCACCAGATCAAGCCTATACAATATGAAAATTATAAAAAAAAATGCAAGTAGTTCAAAAATTTTGCATATGAGTGCCGCCAAGGGAAAAGCTTAAACCGGGAAGTTAAATTTATTGTTAATTATTTGCTAGATTTTGCCGTGAACGAAAGATATATAATATGTATAAACTTAGCGTTAAAGTTTATACGCTAGCTCTAAAAGTATATCACGATTCAAAAAGGCAATAAGAAACTTTAATTCTTAATGATTATATATATCAATATATTACCGTTATTATCAATAACTTGAATAATACGATTTTGCAGACCATTTTATTAAATACTATATTAATTGTGTTGACCAGATAACGAAGCCTTTTGGATTAGTACCATCTTATTGTCATATTTATGTTTTATGTTTGATTTGACCACATAATCAAATCTGACCGAAATTATTTTATTTTAATTCCATATATCTATAGAATTAGAATAAAACAATTTCGGTCAGATTTGGTTATGTGGTTGTCGTGATATTGCTAGTGCTATTTTTGCTACTACTAAAATCCATTGGCTCTGCTCTGAATTTATGAAATTTTTAAATCAGATGGCCTAGCATTTCGTTTCTTGCAAATACAAATTTCGAAAATCATAGATATGATTGGTCATATAATTAGATAAGTGCTGGTTTGCCGGAAATAAATTTAAATAAAGAACTAGAATACATTATGAATAGTTTAACTAAATAATTCGAACTAAAACCATGATATGTCCCAAAAAATTAGCGAGATTACATTAGGTATTATAATAGCTGTAGTTAGAACGAGCAAATAGCATCAACCAGTGGTTTCCCGCCTGTTTGAAGCAGGCCAGTTGTTAAATAGGAGAATAGAAGAATCATTTTATTCCAATACTTCATGTGCCTAGATTAATTAGTTTGTTATTAGAATAGTTAATGAGTTGGATTAGTTTTAATCCCGGTGAAGTTTATCTAAAATCAAGTCAACCTGGAATAATTACTCCAGAGCTATAATAAAGACTTATAACTTAAGTCAACGTGTTAATAGGAAAAACAAACTAGTTTAAATTTAAAAAGGAATAATCTAATAATATAATATAATTAAATTAAAATTTCACTTATATTTAATAAAACTTATAAAAAAATTGATTGATAGAATCAATTTTTGAAATATCCTCAAAATTATTTATAATGCATGTAACGTCTTAATCTTAGAGAAGACTTAATTTCAATTAGAAAAGAAATATAAATACAGCCCGAATACAATAAAAATTTTTGGGTGACATCTATTTTTAATCTATTCATAATCAAATGCGTGATCTATCGTTAGAAAATTTTATATTATGACAGGATTAATTATTTAAATGGAGCCCCTAAACACGTTATGTACTTAGCAATGGGAATTTCTAATTATTAATTGTTTACATGAAATTATTAATTTAATAAATCATTTTTAACAATTAATAATTGAATTATCCAATATGTATAGAATGTATCGATAGAATGTGTAATCAGAAAATTAAAAAATATTTTTTATGTGCTCTATTATAAAAATTTTCTTGCAATATAAATCATGTATTTTTTACCTGATAATTGTTTCACAAGAGTTATGCACCTACAGAAATACGTACGTACGTACATATGTAACAATGATAGAATCTTCTGTTACCGTTACTACTCTCTATAATTGTTTAAATCAAAATTCTTATGCATATTTATTAATTATCCATTGAATATATTAATTATTAAACATGAAAAAACATACAATTAATGATTCTATCAAAATTATTGGTCAAATGATTTTCTACGAAGACATTCTATGCATATTGGATAATTCATTTATTAATTGCTTATAATTATTGCTCGATCAAAGAATACTATCAAGTTGCTACGTAGGAATCACATATGGGAATAGGTCTCACTGTACTATACATAGCATATTTCTCATTGAAGCGTAATTTCAATTATCCTTCATTTACTTGGGTTATAATCTAAATGGTGGTCATTTCTCCTTTATTGCCTGTAGCTATTGAAGAGCAGGGTTAGACTTTTGATAATAGCGATGGAAGAGTATCAGTACTTAAGATAAATTGCAAATTTTTAGCTGATTATTCTGGTTTATGCCTTTTCTTCAACCTCTTTTTCTCTTTCCTCTTCTTTCTTTTTTTTTTCTTTATTTAGCAGTAGGATATAGATCAAGTGGTTTTTGCGCTACTTAGCCTCAGAGCCATAATATTACCTACATATTAATAGCATCACATCTTCCATATACTGTTGTGTATTATCTTTTAAAGGCTACTATACAACTAATCAAGTGGTCTTTGTATTAATATAACCTCTAAGCCAAAATTATTTTTCATCCTTCATACTGATGACTCTTGGCTTTTCAACTACACTTTTCAAGCATCAGTTCAATCTGTTATATCTGGGTAAAAGGGATGGGAAGCCTAATAATACAAGGTGGACAATAGCAAAACTGAAAGATAGAGGTTTTCTTAATTCAAATTTGATGCTTATAAATTCTTTAATTATAACATTTTTAGTTATTCACATATGATTTTTTTTCATAGCACAATATACAAATTCTTGTGATACTTATTATACAGTAACTAAATTATATTATATATTGATTATTTTATATACATATTTCTTGTGCATGTGTTTATTTGTCTCATACTTATATGATTAGATTACTAATCTTGTAATAATATTGGTTCTGTAACTTTATTGACAAGTCAATTATTATTATTGCTTAATCAAAGAATACTATCAAGTTGCTTTATAGAAATCATATATGGAAACAAAAAGAGAATTATCTTTTTTTTTTTTTTTTTTTAAACCTCATTCTCTTAGACACTTGTATTTGTGTTGTATCAATTATTCTTAGATACAATATAATAGCTTTACTATCTCATCTATCTATTGCATATATCTATACAGTCAACTCTGTTTATTCTAACCTGTCCATTCTTATATGTAAAATTAGTTAAAAAGTTTGGTTCTCAAAGAGTTATTATTAGCTAATCTGAACTCTACAATAAAATTTACAAATGTTCTAGAGTTTTTCATTCAGATTAGAGAGAATTTAATAGTATTTGGATTAGAAAGATTTGGATTAGAGAGAGTTGACTGTACTATAAATAGCCCTGTATCAATTGTAGCAGTTGCTCTGCCTATTCGAATACTGTAGACAGTATAACAGCAATTAAATTTGTATTTTGAGCTATTCTCTTTACTATTGTACTAATAGCCTCTATCAATATATGTTTTTTTATTTTAGCCAAAAACAATAGACTATTCCCAATAATATAGCTACAAGATTTTAACCAATTTTTTAGAAATTTGATAAGACAATAAGTGCTGTTTATTTTTTTAACTGAGATAAATTTTTTCATTCACAAATTGATCTGTTTTGGAATTGCAAATTCTAATCCAACACAATTTATTATTAAATTTAACATCTTTCAACTTCAAACCCAATAGCTCTTCAGTCTAACATATTGTTCTTAGCCCTACCCTATTGCTACTAATGTAGCATTATACTTCTACAACTCTCTGTTTGCAAACATCAGTTTGAAATCAATAAATCTTTTTATCACTTTTATGAGAAGTGAATCATATAGCTATTTTGAAGTAAAATTTTTCTAAATTGCTTTGATAATACTTCACAAATCCTCTTTATTCTAAAATTTTTTGTGGGATCAGATAAGCCTGTCTCTTAATATTTTTTTGATATTATAGTCAATATATATAAGTAGCCAGATGAGTATTAATCAAATTTAATCATATAAGACAAAACAAAATAATTTCTTTTGAAAATAAAAAAAATTGTTGACTAGTTATGTTACAAAAACTAATATAAATATCCTAGACTTTATTGAGTCAATTGTTTCAATTACTAGAACTTACTTTAATAATTTTTAAGCTCTATTTAATAACACATCAATTTATTTATTACTACTACCAGAAATATCTATTTAGATTGTTCTATATCTTGACTTCTCCTAAGACTTCTTTTTCAAAGGTTATTTGTAGTAAAGATAATTTACTTTGTTCTCTACTAATAGTGGTTACTATTCTACTATAACTTATTGCAAAACTATTATTGTTGCTATTAAATTTTTCTATCACATACTGTAATACATAATTTACTAGACCTAGAGTTGGACAAATATAATTGTTTTGACTTTCTATTTCTGGACAAAACAATTTACTGCTTCTGTTCCAGGGCAATAAAACTGCTATTGAAATATGAAACCTTACATTTTGATAATTGACTATATGATCTATTATATGTAGACTTTATATTTTTTCTAACTAATCAAATTTTATCTGGTTTAATCTCTAATTAGTTCTGTCTATAGTCTGAGTTAGTTTGTG